CCCTTCACATACTGCCAATGTTTGGGGGAAAAACTATGATCCGGATAAAGGAGAACATAAACATGGTGATGGAGAATAAGGGAGACTTCGATAGCAAAGATATCAGACCTACAGTGTCCACACACAAAGAGGAGTAAGAAATACTTTTTGAGAGAAAGGTGGTACAAAGGGCAAGAGGCCAAAGGTTCCAAGGGAGGAAGAATAAGGGCATAAAGAACAACACTAAGACTCCAATCTGGTAGGGGAACTGGGTGGGGCAGACAAATCAGGCAAAAGGAGCAAAACAAGAGAAAAAAAAATCTGACAGAAGCAGGGAAAGCAAAAGGTATTGAACAAGGTTGCCCTATAGCCCAGATAAGAGAAACAGATAAGCTATTGTCAAAAAGCCAAGTAAAAACATTGGAGAGGTGGGGGAACACTTAGTTGGGAAGGTTAGAGGCCATTTTGCAAAGACCAATGACAGAAAATGCACCATTTATGCTGGTAAACCATCAAGAAGAAGAGCGGATAAAGTGAGAAAGAAGGAAGACTACTCCCATAGAGAGTCTAGATCGCAAGGGACCATACAAAATCTATGTGTGAAGATGGAGTGTGGCTATGGAGGGGGGATGAAAGACAGAGACTGAGATTGCTGGAGAAGGGATTGGGAAAGTGGAAAAGGTATGGTAGGACATGATTGAAAGAGGTTCAACAGTTGAAACCACAGTCGTGCAGGTGAGAATGAGGCAATGAGGACTTGACACGGAGTGGTCTGTATAAGAGTAAGAATTTGGGGAAGAAGAAGGATGGGAGGATAAGCATACTGGTCATGATTGGTCCAATCCTGACTGAAGGCATCCATAGCTAAAGCCAAAGGATGTTGAACTGGAAACCAGAAGAGGGGAAGTTTTGAATTGAGCTGGGTAGCAAATGCATCCAGAAGGGAGGTACTGAGCTGGAAGAATAACCACCAAAATATTTGAGGAGTAAGAGGCCACTCCATTGGCAGAATTTTGTTGGGACGAGATAGCCAAGCTGCCACAAGATTCAGAGCACCCAGGATGTAACAAGCAAGAAGTGAGCCCATCTGAAATTGGGCCCCCCCCAAAAAAAATCCAGCATTCAAAAGGGAATGGAATTTGGTCCCCCTTGACAATTAATGTAAGAGACAGCAGTTGACTTGTCATAATGTATCATAACCAGGTGGCTCAGTACCACAGGCAGGAAATTATCCAAAGCATGACAAATAGCTAGAAGTTCCCAAACGTTGATGTGTATGGAAGATTTGACCATTGACCAACTATTTCCTAAGAATCCAAATATGCTTCCCATCCCATAAGAGAAGCATCTAAAAAGAGATGAAAATTAGGATGGGGAGGAGGCAGAGGAACGCTTGTCAAGGTTTTGTCCCTGTTGAGCCACCAGGCAAAGTCAACTTGTAGGAAATGGGGGAGGAAGATGACAGAGTCCAAGGGATACTGAATGAGATTCCATTGATCATACAGCACCCACTGAAGTCAATACATGTGTGCACAACTCCAAGGGATGAGGGAGTCCATGGAAGCCCAGGTCCCCAAAAGAGAGAGAACCTCGTGCACAGGAAGAAAATGAGAAGACTTGGCTTTGGAAGCCAAGAGCTCCATAGCCCTCAAATAAAGAGAAGAAGGCTGGGTCCTGCTGAGGTAGGTGTTGATAAATACCCCCAGATGAATAAGATACTGTGAGGGTGAGGTGGGACTTCTCCAGTTTGCCAAGCCATCCCACACAAGCCACATCCTGTAAGAAGAAATGGGTATGGTTGTAACAGGCTTCTTGGGAAGGAGCTAAAAGGAGTTATTCTTCCATATAATGAGAAAACCACAAACCTTGTTTGTGAATATAGTAGGCAACAGCTCTGACCACGCAACAGAAGAAGTATGACACCAATGCTAGACCAAATGGTAGAGCATGGAACTGAAACATCTGACCTCATGAATAAACTGAAGCAAATGTCTGGATGCTGGAGAAATTAGGATATGATATTAAGCATTTGAGACATTGACATTGGTCATCCATAGACCTGGAGTGAATAACCATTGGAGGGTGAGAAAAGACTCCATGGTGAACCGGGGGAGGTTGATGACGAAGTTGAGGTTGGAGGGATCAATAACAGGATGCCCATCCTTGGCCTTTTTGGGAAAAACAAACAGCCTGGAATAAAAACCCAGAGAAGGGTGAAACATTTGTTTTATAGTATCCTTGTTCAAAAGATCTTGAATCCCCTCGGAAAGATGCTGGCAAAAAGTGGATCCCAAGGAGGGGGAAAAGAAATAGGGTGTGAGGGTAAAGGGGGAGGAGCAGAAAATGAAGAGACAGTCTATTTGTTAGAACCTGAAGAACCCAAGTGTCAGTGGTGAAAGGGTGCCACAAATGAGGAAACCTGGCCAACCACACTCCCACAGTGCTGAAACCTACAGTATAGTCATCAACAAAACTGGCACTGGAAACTGTAATGACTGGAGTTTTGATGACTTGCCGGGAAGGTAGCACTGGTTGAAGGGAGGATACAGGGGGGCAAGACACAGGAACAGGAGAGGATTGGGAAAGATGAGATGCAAGAGAGAAGAAGGAGGAATGTTAATGCGTAGCCTCCTCTCTAGACTCTAAAGTATCAGAAAGATTCCCCTAAACAGACTGGCACAAGAAAGGAGTCAGATGGAGATCATATAAATAGGAAGCAAGCAGACACATGTGTGACAAGAGAGCATCCCTACTAAGAAGATCCCAACAACAAAGGAGCCATGTATGAAGGGACAAGGCTAAGAAAAATAAGAATGCCAACATAAAAAAAAAGGGTACCTGTATCTGCCAAAATGCCCACAGGGGAAAAGATGAATAGCCTTGGAAAGAAGGTGAATCGGGTGAAAGATAACGGAGGATGGTAGTGGGGGTGACAAAGAGACAATAGAACTAGGGTGGAGAAAATTGTAGTGTAGTAGCAGAATTGGAGCCACATGCCTGATTCAGAGACTCTAAGGTCTGACAATCCAATAACAGAAATTCTGACCAATGATAAGCCAAAGCATGCGAGTCTGCCAAACGTGGGGGCCAAGGCATGCTGGCACCTGAATGTAATTGGATAAGAAACTGTTCAGCATGGACTCAAATGTCAGATGTTGGGGCAGAATGAAGAAGGGAGGAATAATAAGATCCAGTTGAAAGAGGTAACATATCTGTTTTAAAAATGCAAAAGAAGGAAGAGTTAAACTGAGAGTGATAAAACAGGAAAGCACAGCAAAGGCAGGAGGTAGAAAAGGGCTGTCCAAATATTACTATTCAGGAACAGGGAGACTCAACTAGGATTCCAAAACTTAGCCTGTCGCATGATAGATTCTTAACTCATGACTCACCATGGTCAAGACCTCCTCTGTTGAAAGTATGGAACCCAAAGCTATAGAAGAAGTAATTATTGTTGGATCAGTAGTGACAGGATCTATACCAGAAGCTGTTGTAGTAATACTAAATTGAGAGTTCATTATATGGAAAATAAAAGAAACTTTCCACACAAAAAATGATAGCAAAAAAAAAGACAACAAACTAAAGTTGCCAATACAGTAGCATTTAGTGAAACAATAATATCAAATACAGAGCAAAAACTGAGCATGACTGAACAGCAGAATGTCAAACTGAGAAGTGATGACAGTGCTCTACAATATAGAGGAAGTCAACTGTACTAGGAGGGTGTGTCACACTCCTATTGGTGGTTGGTTGTCACATGCTTATTTGCATGCTACAGTGCAGCTCTACCACATGAAATAACATGAGGGTATGGGGAGCATCAAGGTTAGTGGAAAGCAAAAATTACACAAATAGAGAGCAGCACAAGTTGAGAAAAGCTGTTATGTGAGAGGAGGTAAGGTATCGTACCGGAAATGTTTCTTCTTTATTATCACCATTAGACCTCTTGACTATTCAGATTTAGAGAAATAATATGTACATCATGGCTATAAACAGCACCAACTTGTAAATACAAGATATACTTATGTATTAAGAATATAAAATAAGTTACTGAGACCACCAAACTTACTGAAATAATGTGTCCGCCAAGCCCATGAGCAGCATCAGCACACTCAATAACTGCACTCAGCTGGGGATAACCAACCCCTGTTTTCTTCCTAGTGGTACATACTGAACCTGGGCCTATCCCAACCTTGATGATATCTGCACCTGACAGAATTAGTTCTTCCACCATCTCTCCTGTGACCACATTACCAGCCTAAAGAAACCATTCAAAACATTTCCTCTTATACTTTTGCATTTACACTTTAGTTTAAGATACGTTAATAACACTTCTAAGTTTCCAACACTTGTAAATAACAGTCATACAAGTATAAATTTCATTTTTTAAACAACATTTTAACTCTCAGCTTCTCTTTTTGGATTTTAATGTTAGAAACACAGGAAAATGTTTTGAGATTGTTATTTTAAGTAGACTTGTATTTTCATTAAAATAGTTTCATGTATTATACTTTACTAGCAGAGACCCACAAAACGTTTGCTGTCAAATTAGTCTTTATTGCAACAGTATTCTTTTAAATATAAGATTTGTAGAATAATACAAATAAAATTTAATCGTAGCCACCAAAATGTGCAAATCTACTTGTATTTAGGTCGTACTTTATAAAACCTTAACTAATGCTAGGCCTAAGTTCGATAGAGAGATAAATTAACATTGTACTGTGTATGTTTTTTACATTAGCTTAGTAACTAGAACTTAGTAACTAACATGTGTGCTTCAGAACAAGAAATACTTAATGCTATCTATAAATACACTTATAATGATATTCTAGGACCTAACAATCAAAAAATTTCAAGCTTTTAATGTTATTGTACTAAATGATTAATAAAGAATACTTACATCCACCTTTTTAGTTTATTCCTTCATTCATTCACAGAGCAGTTGTAGTCATTTGTTCATTGAGCTTTCTAGCTCTCTGGCACAGGCAAACGCTTGCACTGTTTTTCTGAATAAAATTCTTACTGCGCATGCTTATAAGGCGTACTGATAGCAGAATTATAGTATGACAAGGTTTTGGTGTCTGTGACTAGAATTATTTTGTATTATTCTAGAAATCCTGTACTTAAACAAGTACTGTTGTAATAAAGGCACTAATCTGAGTGTAAATTTCTTGAGGGTCTCTGCTAGTCTATTATAATACTACTCAGTTTTTGTCTGTCATGATAATGCACACACACCTTACTTTCTAAATATAGATGCACGCATACGTCATTTCCCTAACAGATACAAGAACAGGTGTAGTATTATACAGATTTTACAGTGCCTACAATATGGTAACATATTACATGAAGAATGCATGACTGAATAAGTTGTTGATCAGAGTTGTGGAAGTTTTCAAATGTTACAAAAATCTACTTTCACTTCTTCAAAATCTACTTGCCCCCTTCCTGTTCCACAAAACATACACAAAAATGTACAGCTTTTAATATTTTGTTTTTATTTCATAGAGAATCCTGTCCTCAAAAAGAAAGCAGACACAGAATATGTTCAAGAATGGAATGAACATGATTTTCCTTGAATCCAACCTTGAAAAATGTGAGGTAACACTGCAGGTTAGATGAGTAAAGTGTAGTGATGCATATTTCAAGTAATAAACAATTAGCTAGTCAATCAACCAGAAATGCATTTCTAAGCTGAGGGAATGAAACCAGGTGACAAACCATTGAACCACAATGGTGATGACAAAGGGTGCTGAGCTAAGACCAGAAAAAGAACATGAATCTAATATATAATTAGTGGACAAATTGTAAAATTTTTTTCTGAACTAGCAAAATAAAGAAAGATGACATGCACGTCAGATGTTCATTTTCAACATCCATGACCCACAATAAAAGTACAAGACAATTCTCAAAAGTTTGAAGCAAGTTTGGGAGGAGTAAGAAGTAATTGAAATAAAAGAAATTTATAAATGGTTGCCACTATCATGTGTGCTTCAGAACAAGAAATGGTTTAGAATAAAATTCTGGTGAATGACTCAAAATCACCTCAGTGGCTTCAAAATCCAAGGCAGTAACTATCCACAGAAAATACTATTCCCTATAATGCTGGTTAATTACTAATTACCTGTTTGTATCTTACTTGGATAAAGCTTCAATACCTTGAAACTGATGCTAATCTTCATTAAAAATAAACTTATGTAATATATTTAATTAAAAAAATTTCCATATTCTTAGTGAATTTGATTACGGAATCAGTAACATTGAATGTAGATCAAAATCTGAGCCTAGACTTGAAAAAATAAAAGAGAGCACAAAAATAAACACAAGTAATTATAAACAACAGTTTTATTTATTTCAAAGTAATAGATAAGTAATAAAAATCAAGTAAAACACTTACCATGATAGTGAATGAAGGAAAAGCTTTTCTAACTTGCCGTACAAAAGACACAAAATGTTCTGAATAACCATTTGCTACATCAAGACAGATATAGTTGATTTGTGGTATTGCTTCTGTGATAGCTTTCAATTTATCAAAATCTCCTGGCCCTGAACCAGAACTAATTGCAACATTCTAGAAAGAGATATAGTGAAAACTTCATAATAATAATAAACTATAATTAGAAGTTCACACTAATAGACTAAAACAAAATATTAAGGTGAGCCTTTATTGTGTCAATGTGTAATTTTTCACTGATGAATATTCAAACTGACAAAAACGTTTTTTAAAGTGTACTAAACTGACAAACTTATAACAAAACCTATAACTTCATCAATTTGATAAAAGAAAGTTATTTAAAGAAATATCTTAAGGTCTTAAAATATTTTTCTACTACAATATGATAAACTCCTAACTAGGATGATAAAATCCCTGTAGTTTAACGAGACTTTTAAATAAAATTATAAATGTTACACAAATAAATAATATCCTAAATTTTATTCTAAAATCATTGTTCTGTTTTCCTGTTCAATACTTACCTCTACAATGTCAAGGTTCTGAGTGATAAATTCTTTCCAAGCTTCTACAGAATAATGTTTGTGTATTGTTGTGAAGAGGCCATGCTAGCAAAGAAAATAATATCTTTTTAACTAAACTTTGTAAATAATCTGATTAAAATGAATGAACTTTTATTGAAAATCACTTCCTAATCTAATTTCAGAGGATATTACTGCTCAGAAAGATTTCTTAACTAAACATAACATAAATAATTAGTGATCCATTAGATACACACAGCAAGTTAACAACTGAATGAAATTATACTTCTATGATCCACAATTTGTGTTTTAACTATGCCAATATAATTACAGTCAATGATGACTTCATTAAGTTTTTTAATGACTCTTGGGTATTTCTAGTTGTATTAAAAATTTTGAGGTATTACTAAATGACTTAGATCAATTGGTAAGATGAACAAAAAATTAGCAAATGACCTTTGATTATAGCAAGTGCAAGTTAATGTATTTTGTGTTATCATAATTCAAATCCCACACTTAACACAGATAGAAACCCACTCTATTGCATGACTGAAGAAAATGACATTTGTATAGTGGTTGACAAATTCACTGAAGCCATCGAAGAAGTGCTCTATTGATAGTATAGCAAAAAAGCTCATAGAATTGCAGGGCATATTTACAAACATACTGATTACAAGTTAAAGGAGGTAATTATTTTGAAACATTAATGTATTAATTAAAGGTTACCTAACAAATAATACCACCCTGTACCACAGTTCATTGTTAATTGTGCAAGTAACTGATGCACCTTTGATTATGAAATTGGGATGCATTGCTCTGTTTTATTACCATTATGGTATGCTTACTGTTATATTTACCACAAAGTTTTGCCTGGATTTGTAGGGCCATTTAACATAAAGCCCCTTATTTTCTTTATTGCTACACTCATTATGAGACCTGATAATGTTAAGCATGTTATGGGATTCATTTTGTCTTATAGCATCTATTCTGTTGGCCACTTAACTATCCTAATACCTAATTTTGATATTTATTCTGAATTTTTAAAATTTTCAAATACTTTTCAATGACATGTTAGTTTCAATGATTAGTTTTTCCATTATAATTATTTCTTTCCATGATTTTGATGGAACATACCTCAAGCTCATATTTTCCAATTTATCCTGTAACCTCCAAGTTATTTATATATTTTTCATTCTTGTTCTTTCATAATAAATCTCATAAGGACTAAAAACTTGACTCTTGAAGTTAATCATGTTTTTCTAACCTTCAAGCAAATTGATTCTTTAGTTAGTAAAAACACTAATAAGTTTTTTTATATATTTAAGTCATACTGCTTTCCTCTATAATAAGTTTTTATTTGAATCTCCCAAAGATCCAATCCTATGATTACCTCTCTTCAAATTCATGCAATCATTAAATCCCCAAAATTAGATGTTATAGTCCCTTAGCTTTAATAATACATTTCTTAATCTTTTTTTCTTTTGCTGTATATTATCATCTTCTGTTTCACAACTAATTTTTATATTTGTTAACTTGTATTTTTCATTTATTTATAATTCCTCAAATTCACCTATTTACGTATGACTTTTTTTTAAACTAATTCTTTCCAACTAGATCAATTTGCATGACTATATCAAGCCTCATTAACATTAACAACCTAATCTTCATTATTTCCAGTGGCCTCTTTAAGTTCATGATACAACACTTATTAACTTTACATGTCAATAACAATAAGTGTTTTTGAAATAAAACTGATTTTTTATGTATAAATGTATCAAAGTTTCTTTATCTGCTGAGACTAGGAATCTTACCAATATACACAAAATACAAAACTTAATTTTTTCAAACATCTTAATTTACAAAACAAATTCCTTATTAAGACATGAATTCAAGAAATCTCCTATGAATTGTTCTTTACAATTTTGCAGTATATGTATATGAATGAGTGTGTGAACCTTGTCAATTTTACATGGGTTGTCTAATTTACTGTACAGTTTTCAACATCATGAACAATTATAACATATAAAACTTTGTAGAAATAAATATAAATAATTTATAACAACTTCTGGTACACATTTATTAACATAATTCTAGTGAAAGAGTTCAAATAAAATAAGAGGGCTGGAACAGTTGTTAAGAAACATTTACCTTAGCCAAAGCTTTTGCCATTTCAAATGTGCCTACTGTGTCCATATTAGCTGCTATTATAGGTACTCCTTTATACTGCTGTCCAGAATTACAAAACTTGTAACTACGCTCCAGATCAACCTGTTAGAAATTAAAATAGTTTATTGTGTAATACAATAATAAAAAAAAATCATTCATAAGATACATTTATACATGTAGCTTACTACAAAACTTTTGATATAGATTTTAAATATTCAATGTACAAATTCAATATACTTACGTATACATATTTTGATCAGAAACCTAAAAATATTTTTACATTCTTACCCAAAAAGCTAGATATTATAGCATACATACAACAGCATAAGGTAATTTGCCAGCTTTCTTAGAACTAAAAAATATGATGCGACAGAAAGCCATTTGATCTGTTGATGTTACTACAAAGATAAAACCTAAAACTAGAGGGACACTAAGTACATACCTCTGTCATGCAGCATTGATCATATTTGGCCCTCAAAGATTACGAAAATGTGTCCATATGTCCATTGTTATCAATGACATGGACTCTTTTTGGCAGAACAATGAGGAATAATATTCTACATATGTCCACAAGTTTCATCAAAATCCGATCACTTTTGACTGAGTTATAGAGCAAAAATAGTTTGAAAAATCGATCCCCATGTTAACAGATATGAATTTTTTGAGCTTTCGTGACCTTGACCCTCCAGAACTAATCACTTCAAAGTTGGGTCATAGTCCAAGATTATACCAACTTCCATCAAAATCCATTCTCTGTTTATGAGAAATGTTGCTGACAAACAGATAAAAAAACACACAAACATGAGTGAAAAAAAATAACTTCCGTCCACCTTTGATGGCAGAGGTAAAAATGATTTTTTAATTTAATCTAACTTGATGTTGAATATAGCTTTTCACATCTATATATATATATATATGTATATCAATACAATCATTAAGCAAACATTTCCATATGTTTATAACTGTTACATATATATATATATCTTAGAACAAATCTAGGCTCTGAATCTTCAAACTGTACACCTAATATTCTTAAAAATCATAGTATAGTCTGGCTAATGATGTACTGTTTACCAGTATTTAAGTTTTAAGCTGTTGTTGTTGGACAGATATGCCATTTTAATATTACATTTTCAAGATAGTGGGTTGTCCA